TTAACTGAATTCTTCACAGCTTTTTTTTTGTTTTTTTTTTTTGTTTTTTTGTTTTAATACAGTTATCTAGACTTAATTTCCTTTCGTAGCCTTCTGCTGAAGACAAATAATATTTATTCCTTTTATAATTATTAGCGTGGTCTGAAATAAAACAAAAAAAAATATTAGAAACAAAATTCCCTAATTTTTTTTCAGTTTCTTGTAGACAATATTTTATTTTCAGTATAAGTATATCTTACTATATATAATATAGATAATTATCCGAAAGTGTCATGCTGGCATCTAGATTATAATCAGCAATCATTTAGCAAATTAATTAAGAGAAACACTTCTATTTTTATAGATTTTCTGTCACCCTGCTAAAGTCTGATTCACTCGGCGTGCATATTATAGTAAATAAATAGCTGAGTGGGTCTGAAAACAAAAATCAAGTTTGTATCTTGGACAAAACTATTTAGTGGAGTGCAGAAAGAGAAAAGCATAAACACTATTTGCGTTGTTGATCGATCGATCAGCTATATACATACACGGACACACACACACAGACATAATATATATATAGATTTATGTACTTCATAGGTACATCCACAGCCACTTAACCGGCTTTGCGGCTGCGCGTAGGAGTGCATCTGGTTTCAAGACGGCGAACAGGGAGCGCACTTCAAATCGAATGACATCAGCCTTAAGCAATTTTTTGTCTAATTTTTCAGCGCTTTAAAGTACCCATAAAGATGGCTATGTATGTGTGTGTGTGTATGCTTAAGCTATTTGCGTATTGCCGAAATGCACATACTCTATAATAAACAAATCCACACTATGACAGCCAGCTAAACAAACCGTCTAAATTATTAGAGCAAAATGATTCTTAAAACATAAACAAAATCTATTTTAAAATAAATTTTAAACCTCAAATTTTATGGTTTTGAAGCAAAGTGAAATACAGATTTCATCTTTAATCTTAAGATGAAAAGTTTTCCGAAAACTTTCAGATAAATTACCAATTTCTAAAAACGTTCTACGTTCTGGCAGAGCAGGGGGTGCTGAGCCTGCAAACTTATAGCCCCAAAGGGCATACAAATCTTAACTTTTATACAGATTAAAGTCTATTTATTAAAAATATCTGTATATATACATACATACAAGAGATGAACAGACGGGCAATGTAAACAAAAGTTTTTTCTTCTTAATGCTCATATTAAAAATTTTGATATTATATATTATACTATATTTAATTGCTGATTTTTCAATTCTACAACTACAAAGAAAAATGTCATCATCACAATAAAAGAAATAAAAAATAGTTCGTGAATGTGCAGAAGGCGACTATTTTATCGACAACTTTAGAGGGGGGATTTTTTCTTAGACTTTTTACTAGAAGCTAAGTAGTAAGTAAGCATAAGTAAACTAAGTAAAAACTTAAGTTGAATTCGCTATCATCATAATATAAATTGTATATTCTTTTGTGAGGCCCGAATATTATTTATTAATTTCAATTTATCTTTATCAAAATCACTTTCTCGGCTATTTGATTAATTTTCAAGTTTCCTTTTTCGATATTTTTAAAGTTCAATATTGGGCTTCTTGAAGTGATATTTAGTGATAATAATGCTTACCTTTTAATGCAATATAAAATTGATCCAATATTTTGTTTGGGGTTTCGTTGCTGTTCGCTCAGCTTCTTCTTTATTGTTTATCTCTTCTTTCCTTCTACTGCTGTTTCGCTATATCTCTTTTCTGCTCGCTCGCTCGATCTTGCTTGCAAGTTCTTTAGATTACAAAATGTCGTTGTGGATTTCGCGTAGTCTTCGTCTTCGTCGTCGTCGTTGGGATTCGTATAGATATAGGGTTTATATTCATTAAATTGTTCCTTTCTTTAGCAACGCTCTTCGTGCGTCGTTTAATTATGCTCCGCACATAACATACGCTAATAATAATATTCCAAAAAATAACAACAAATTCTTTACTTTTTATTACTTTATTTAATTATAATTTGCAGTCAGGCAATATGAATGCCTTATAGACAACTATGAGTAAGTGAGTTCTGCGCTTAACTTTTTGGATCGTCGCACGCCGCACACAAATGTACACAGACACAGACTCACACACACACACACACACGCACGATCGCACTGATACAGTGGCGCAGAAACAATTGATGATTGTGTCTTGTTATTCTTTACAGTTGCTGCTGTTTTTTTTTTCGTTTGTGTTGTTGTTGTGTTGTTAGTGTTTCGCGAGCAGCTGTTTACGATTTGAATGAGTCAATGAGCGAGGGGGTGGGTGTGTCGTGAGTATGAGAAAGAGAGAGGGAGAGAGAGAGAGTGTGTGAGGCGGCTGTTGGTTAAGTATACGCACCGTTGACGCTGATGTCGTTGTCGTCGCTGGCTGCGCCTGCCTCTGCTTTGCGCGGTCTATTTTTGGTTTGTTGCTTTGCGCTTGTTCTTTAGCTCGTTGTCAATTGTTGTTGTTGTTTTTGTGGTTATTATTGCTCTTCTCTTGCTTTATTTTAGGTTTGTTCGCGTAATTTTCGTTTATATTTTGTTTTTCGTTTTTTTAGATCGCTCGCTAGTTTTCTTGGCTATTAGTCACACACACATACGCACACTCACACAAGCATAGAGGCGTTGTGTATAATGCTTGACATATGAAATAAGCATAGAAATTAATTTATTTTTATGTTTGCTCTTTTGCACGCGCATTTGCTTTTAACAAATTTATATTTGCGAATCAGACACATGTGCCGCATACTTTAACTATATATACATATATGCATGTATTTATACATATGTATGTATATGTGCTCGTATGCATGCAGCTATACTCTGTATATAGACAGCGTAGGTGCGTCTTCTATGTTCTTCCGTTTCCGCTACACAACCACAATATGACGTCGTCGTTGGCTGTTTAGCAGCTTTTGGAAGATATTGAAACACATCTATTATTTATTTTGTAATTTTTGGGACTAACTATTTGTATTTGGACCAATATGATTTCCGTTTGGCGAGCGGCTCGGCTATTTATAAATATAAATCGGCCAAATACAAAAAAGAATCTTATGTGTGTACACAACAATATGAATCACATAATAGCAAAGAGACTCATTAGAATAGAATAGAATATAAATTTACAAAACTTTGCTGCACATTCTCAACTAAATACATACGGATGCATGCACATAGATATGTATATAAATATATATGTATATATATTTTTCTTTTTTCACATAGAACTTTCGATTTTTATTGCTAATTTTGTTATTTTACTTTATTTTATTTTAATATTCGCACTTTTGTCGAGATATATGTAGTATATATATAATATACATATATATATGGTAGGTAATGTGAGTATCGTTCGGTTTGCTACGCTTGACGCAGGGTTTTGTGTTCTCTGTGCTACAAAATCAGCGTTTAAACTTAAAAATTAAATCATCGGCGCGAGCGATCAGTTAAAGACTGAAAACCTGATGAATCGCCGCCGCTACGAAAAGCTTCCACACACTCAGCATACAGACAGAGAGACCGAGAGAGAGAGGGAGAGCGAAAGTATCGCCCTGCATGTGATCTTCTTTAAAGAGCGGCCATTGAGAGCGAGAGCGAGCGAGAGAGCCCGAGTGACGTTGGAGTCTTTTGAGGGTTGTCGAGTTTAATTTGTTGAGCCCGAATGATTCAAAGATATTTAGCCGCACCTATATTAATATTATTATATATGTAAGAGTTTCGATTGTTAAACAATAATTTAATTCTTGAAAGTGGTTATAAATTAAAATAAATGGAGTCTGTTTATCCGTGGAGCTTTTTCAGAAAGTCTTGAGGAAATAGCTATTTTAATATATTCATTTTCATTTTGGTTGATTTTAAATACATTTCAAAGATTTTTAGCACTAAACAAAATAATTTTAAACATTAATAAAGTTGAAAACAATAATAGGATGATTTTAAATATAAGTTAATATTTTCTCCACTTAATCAATTCTTGCATGGACTCTTTGAAAAGACAAAAACTGAACTTAATGTCAATATATTATATTTAATTTAATACGATATCGATGCTTATAGATACACGAAAATGATAAAAGCAGAACGCTCGTAAATAATTTAAGTATATATTTTTTAAAAAATTATTAAATGATACCCTATTACAAAACAGTGTTCTTGGAAAATGGAAAGTGATTCACTGAAGCGGCTTTATTAATCAACTACTTTGTAGGCGTTCCCAAGGAATTATTCAATGAATTGTTCAACTGCTCCTCCTCATCTTTGTCCAAGCCTAAGGCCATGGTTAACAATTTGACTACGCAACGCTGTTCATGCACTTCGCCTTTCTCGGTTGACGTGATGTCCTTTTCTAGTTTTAGCTTCTCTTCGGCAGCCATCAAGATGCCCTCCTCAATGGTGTTCTCTGATATCAAACGATATATGGTAACTGGACGATTCTGGCCCATACGATGACAGCGATCCTCGGCCTGCTTATCATTGTAGGGATTGAAGTCAATGTCGTGAATGATGCAGGTATCCGCTGCAGTTAAATTGATGCCCACGCCACCGGCTTTTGTTGACAACAGAAACACAAATATATTATCATCGACATTGAAATCTGTGATCAGATCCTGCCGTTCTTTGACAGCTGTGGCGCCATCCAAGCGACAGAAACCATGCTTTCTTATCCTCAGATATTGCTCCACAACGTCCAGCATCATGGTAAACTGACTAAAGAGCAGCACACGATGTCCCTCGGCCTTCAGTTTGGGCAAGAGTGTGTCCAGATATTGGAATTTGCCCGACTCACAAATCAAGTTGTCCGGAATCTTTACATCGTAAAGATCCTAAGCGCCAATTAAGACAAGTTTTAGTTAGTTTAGAAATAATCACTGGCATTTCAGCCAACTTACGTATTTGTTGCACAGCTGATAGACCTGGAAGTCGGACATAATGGCCAGCTCCTCGAATATGTACTGTTCGTTGGTCTTCTTGTAGGAACTGACGCGTGCCAGACGCTTGGCAAAGCCACGCAATTGCTCGTCAGTGAAATAGTGACGCATTAGCAACGGATGGTTTGCCATGCGTCGCATTTCCATCATAATAGCTACACCGGCACGATCGCTACTGCTACAGATCTCGCCTTTGTTGTTTGAATAATATTCGACCAGCTCCTTATAGTACTGTTTTTGTGAGGCGCACATTGGAACTTTTTCCTAAGGGAGGACAAGTATTTTTAATCAACTTGGACATATACTCATCTAACGGAAATCGTTAGCTTACCACATAGCTGTGCTTTGTGGGCAAGTTGTTGAGTACATCCTTTTTGAGACGCCTCAGGACAAAAGGTTTCATGATACGCTTGGCGCGTTGCACTTGGGTCTCTTGGAACTGTGAAACTTCCTCCTGGTCGCCATCAGTTTTATTTTTCTGTAAATTTAGAGGGAACATTAAGAAATCATTCAGAAATCAGTTTAAACATCTCCTGGCATACGCATACCTTGACAAACAAGGTCTTTATATCGTCAATGCTCTTGGCAAAGAACTTGGGCATAACGAAGCACAACAATGAGATCAACTCCAGTAGATTGTTCTGCAGTGGTGTGCCCGTGAGCAGAATACGCATCTCGGCATTAATTGTGATCAGATTGACGTAACGTTGGGTCGTCATGTTCTTCAGCATGTGTGCCTCATCGAAGATGACATAGTGCAGCTTACAAACGCGGAACATCTTTCGCTCTTCGGGCGTAGAGCCAACTATATGGTATCTGGCAAAGTTACAGATTAAGCAACCGAACGAAAAAAATTTAAGGTCAACAATCACTTACGTGGTCAGCAGGACATCAAAGCCTGTAAACCCATCCTTGGCAAAACGTACACGCATTCGTCGTCGCTCGTCCTGCGAGCCATGATATTTTTCCACTACCAGACTGGGACACCATTTCGCAATTTCAGCTTCCCAATTGTCCAACGTTGACGAAGGTACAACTATGAGATGAGCTCCCTTGCTCAGACCATTTTCCTTGAGATATGCTAGAAAGGCAATTACCTGTATGGTCTTGCCTAGGCCCATTTCATCTGCCAAAATGCCATTCATTTCTTGCTTATGCATAACTGTCAGCCAATTAAGGCCTATTATCTGATAATCAGCCAATTGCAAACTGGAACAGATACGAATGAAAATATTAGTGAAACTTATCTTAGTTTTGGCGTATCTTAAGTTAAATAATTCAGTTGATTGTTTCTATGATATGTTATATTCGAATATATATCATTCAATATTATTTTTATCAGTGTTAAGTGTTAAGAGGAATATATGCGACTTATTTATTAATTATTATGGATATAATAGGCAACCAAAAATAGACACCCACTTGCTACTAAGTAATTTTGGCTGCTCCACAATGCCAGCTCCATTGGCTATAGCCGTTTCTAGACGTTGCACCATGCCATTGCATTTACTTAATATGGTTGCAACGGTATTCTGTTTGTTGATCAGATCCTGTGCATAGTTAAGTAGGTCCGCCGATAGACGATTAGCCTCCAGTTTTTGCCGCAGATCCGCCCAATCATTGAACGGTCGAATCTCTGTAAGTATCGTTGCCTTCTTCTCAGACAGCGTCTTTACGGACTGCAGCTCGAGCAGACTGGCAGTGTTCATGAATTGAAATACTTTCTTGCGCTGCCCGGTCATCTTGGTGGACATTTCAGTATCACTGTCATCGCTGTCATACACCTGATCCTTAGATTGTTTAACGTCATCATCATCGGAGTTGTCGTAGTCGGAGTAATTGCCACTGGACTTGCCATGCGACTTGGTCCCACTGCCATTTGAGCTGTGCTTTAATTTCGGCTTATCCAGCGATGCGTTTTGTGGTTTGGGCCTACAGTGTTCTTTCAGATATCGTATTGCCGTTGCTACATCCCAATCGGATCGTGCCAGCGAATCTTGAATTGCCTGAAATGTGTTGCAAAAATTATATATTTCTTTGATATTAGCTTATAATCTACATTAATATTAATTGTCGCAAAGGAATTTCGCCATTTCAAATCCCGGATTTAAAAAATGCTGAGCCACCCCTCTTTCACGCGACGCCACTGTTCCCAACAGCTGTTCGCAATGCCGGGCCCGAGTCGCCATATTCCGAACACATGTAAACGACGCGCGCGCTTTGCCCCCCGCACCAAGCACATATAAAAAAGAAGAAAACCCATAGCCAATGGTCGATGACTTACCATTGTATCATAGTTTGGCATTATTTTTGCGGCAGCCATGTAACGTTCCTCTTTTTCCTTGACGGTCAACACAAGTTTGGCCTTTTTAGGGGTCTGGCAGTCGGCGCTGTCGCTGTCACTGTCTGCCATCACTTGAATGCGTTTCTTGCCAGGCACACGCTCTGAAATGCAATATATTTACATTTTGCTCAATGCTATTTCCAACAGTAAACACGATGCCTACCAGTTCGACTTGGACTGGCAGCTGCGGCGGCTGCATTCTTATTTATGCGAAACTGTCGCAAATCGTTCAAACTAGATTTGGAGACAGATGGCGCTTGGCTTTCCGACATGTCTGAGGCTAGCCGAATATAAACAATTGTTGACGTTTTATTTATAAATAACAATTGCAATTACTGTTCAATTTAACATCTACTACAAAAAATTTTCCTACAACTTTTGCATTCACAATTCACACTATAATCAGAACTCGGCGCAGTTGCACATCAATGCCAATCGCAATCGATAACGATGCTCGTGTGCGACGCGATATTATTATCGGTGCGATAGCCCTGACGGCCAATCGAGATTTTCGCGACGCTTTCTGCAGCCCTTGTAGAATTTTTTCCACTTGTGTGAGAGAGGTTAATTGAATTTTTATTTTCTGCTTAAAACTAAAACGAATTTCCCCAAGTTTGTTAACAAAAGTGAAACATCAAACATGGCGGGCGGCAACACTCCGCGTGTTATACAGGTGACCAATATTGCGCCGCAGGCCACCAAGGACCAGATGCAAACGTTGTTCGGCAACATTGGCAAAATCGAGGAGATTCGACTGTACCCCACCATCCGAGATGTCTCTTGCCCAGTGCAGTCGCGCATCTGCTACGTCAAATACACCGAGAGTAGCAGTGTGCCCGTGGCCCAGCATTTGACCAACACCGTTTTCATTGACCGGGCGCTCATCGTCATACCGGTGCTGGCCATTCCCGAGGAGTATCGTGCTTTGGAGATGCTTAAGAACGGCACCATAGTGCCGGGATTGCAGAAGCCGGACTCTAAGCTGCCGCCTGAGGTAATCAATCGCATCGAGGGACAACTGCCCCAGCAAGTCATCAAGACGTACGACCCGAAGCTGGTCGAGTTTAATCTGCCTGAATATCCGGCCCTCCCTTCGTTCTATGATGCGCGCAAGATTGAGGAGATCCGTCGCACCATCATTGTGTGCGACGTGCGAAATGAATGGCGCTTGGACGATCTAATGGAGTGCTTCCAGCGCGCAGGCGAGGTAAAATATGCGCGCTGGGCTGAGAAGGATAACAAGACGTACTGCATGATTGAGTTCTGTGAGCAGACGAGCGTCATACATGCGCTGCGTATGCAGGGCCAAGAGTTCAAGGGCGGACATTTGAATGTGTATCACTCTACCTACTCCATAACGAAGCCCGAGGCCAAGTCCAATGAGGCAGCCCAGGCAGAGATTGAGGAGGCCATGACGATTGTGAAGGAAGCACAGAGCATGATATCGGCTGCCATCGATCCTGTCATTGGCATGTTGGCCAAGGACAAGCGGCGACGCTCTCGCTCACACTCTCGTTCTCGTGAAAGACGCACCACCAGTCGTTCCCGTTCTCATCGCTCCAGCTCTCGTCGGCGACGCCGTTCGGGCACACGAGAGCGCCGTAGCGTATCTAGGTCTCGGCGCTCGCGCTCTCGCGGCAAACACTCATCACGATCGCGCAGCAAGCGCTCTCGTTCGCGCCATCGGCGCAGCAGCTCACGCTCGCGCCGCTCACGTTCTCGTGGTGGCAAGCACTCACGGTCATCGAGGTCGCGGGGTAAGCGCTCCAGATCTCGCCATCGCCGCAGTACATCGCGCTCACGTCGCTCTCGATCGCATGGTGTAAGCGGAGGACTCGGCAGCGGCAGTGCTGCCGTCTCCATCAGCAGCGGCAACGGCAAGCGCTCCAGATCTCGCGAGCGCAGTAAGAAGTCACATCGCGCCCGTTCGCCACGCTCGCACAGCAAACGCAGCTCCCCATCGCCCCCACCTGTGCCCAGCAAGTCGCGTTCCAGTCGCAGCAAAGATGTGGCCAGCATCTCAACCAAGTCATCGTCGTCGTCCTCTTCGAGACGACGCTCCCGCACCCCGGACGCACGCAAACTGAAGGCCATTACGGAGGATGTCGAGGCAAAGACCTCCCGTAAATCGGTCAGCGTTGAGAAATCCGACAACATGGATATATCTAATTCACCATGAATGATGAAACGATCCTATCATATGCACACATTTTGATTAACATACAAATACAAACAGTAAAACATTAAAACAAATACAAAGAACTAACATTAATTTTGCTAATCAATTGATTATAAATAACAGTTTTGATTAAGTGACCGCTTTGAGAATTTGTATTGCTCTGCTCTGTCCTAGTTCCAAGCCAAAAGTTTTATTCAAAAGTCCAGCATTTATGAATGTATGTTTATTTAAGTAAATATTGAATATACAACACTAGCCTAAGTTTAATAATTCTAAAGCTGTTTTAATTTATGGGATAAACTTGAACTTGTTAGATATTATAATTCTTCGAGGATATCTTCATTAGCATTTTGTTATATTCAATTATTCAGACGTTCTTTTTAGATTTTTCGTTTGGAATTTATTTTGTTTAAAAAAGAGTAAGAATATTTCCCGCTGTGTATCAAACAGCTGCGAGGTTTTGTTTGTTTGGCTTTGCGGCTTTCGTGCCGCTAAAAAGCTTCGCAGAGAGCTGCAGGCGCGAGCTTTTACGCTCTACAAAATGTCGGCCGGTTTCCAATTGGACTCCAAGTTGACGTCGAGCGTTTGTCGCCAGCGGTACTAATTGCGCTAGCTCTGCTGTGATCATAAATATTGATAATTCATATATTCTTATCCATTCTCGTTTGTTCTGGGCAAGTGAATTTTGTGCAAAATGTCTGCAGTTACAAAAGGTACATACATGAATTGCACATATTTCTTTGTTTGCCAGCGAAAGTTTTGATGAAAGTGAACTTTGGACTTGTTGCTGCGTTCGTTATCTTCTGCCGGCTGCCCCCAGCTCCCCCTTTAACATAGACAAATGAGAACGCCTGCACTTTGGACCTGTTGAGTGGAAAATAAAAAACAAGATTTGCTTTCGTTAACCATTCCTAATTTGAATAATCTTTATATCAGACAGGCTGTATAAACACGCACTAATACAAGTGTACACATTTATGTATTTGCTCATGCAGGCATCTATATTGTCGCTGCCAAGCGCACGGCCTTTGGCACCTTTGGCGGTGCTCTGAAGAACATCAACCAGACCCAGCTACAGACCACAGCGGCCAAGGCGGCGCTGGAAGCGGCTGGCCTGAAGGGCGAACAGGTGGACACGGTCGTCGTGGGCAATGTGATTGCGGTAAGTGAATCTTGATTGCCGAGGCGAACTCTAAGCCATTCGCATAGCATCTAGCTCTTATATCTTGGCAAGCAAATACATACATACATACATACATACATAAGTATATAAATGAACGTACATATACATAAATGCATACATATCATATTTTAATCAATTTCAATTAGTTTTATATCTATTGTATATGAAAATTTGTATGTATGTATGAAAATTTGTGATAGCTTTTTGAAGAATATATTAATGTATACATATTTACATATACCCAGCAATTAATTAATAAATTTAATCTTAATTTTCTAGTTTGCCAAACTTAATCAACATAAAATTTTACTGCTCAACATTTTTTGATAAATGATTTTATCTAAATTATTTGCTTTATTATCAAAAATGATTTTTATTTATTTTTATAGATGTCTTAAAAAAGTTCAATATCTATAATTTTTTTAATCTGCCAAATGGAAATTTATAAAATTCTTTGATTTTGTAAATTTAAAAAATTTATAATAATTATAATAAAAAGTCTCTAATTTTTATATTTTGAAAATGTATTTTACGCTTTTAGTATTTCATTAGTAATTAGATTTAAAAAAATGTATAAAATACATATATATACAATATAAGATATACAAAATATATACATATATATAAAATTTATATATTTTTTTAATCTAGTAATTTAAAAAAAAAAAAACATATTTTATGTTTCCTCTACTTATTTAGTCTTACTAAACTTTTAGTTTTGTTTTATTATTACAATTTACAATCTATATTAATTTTTTAGTTTTCAAATAATAAGTAATAATTCGATTATTTTGAGTCTAATTGCCTGGTTTATATATTTATATAATAATTATTTACTTCAATTTTTTCTACTTTATTTATGTTTTTCTCCTATATTGAGTACTATAAAGGTAATTTATTTTAGTTCTTCTTCACATTATTCCAATTTATTTTGTATTGCTCTTGCTTGCAGTCCTCCTCCACGGATGGCATCTATGTGCCACGTCACGTGGGTCTGAATTGTGGCGTTCCCATTGAGAAGCCCGCGTTGGGCATTAATCGCCTGTGCGGCTCCGGTTTCCAGTCCATTGTGAACGGTGCTCAGGATATTTTGGTGGGCGGTGCTAAGGTGGCGCTCACTGGCGGCGTGGAGAGCATGTCCCAGACTCCGTTCATCGCGCGCAACATGCGCTTCGGCACCACACTGGGCGGCAACTACAATCTGGAGGATGCGCTGTGGGCGGGTCTCACGGACACCTACTGCAAGCTTCCCATGGCACTGACTGCCGAGAATCTGGCCGATCAGTATAAGATCTCCAGAGAGCGCGTGGATGAGTTTTCGCTGCGTTCGCAGAAGAACTGGGAGAAGGGACAGCAAGAGGGCGCCTTCAATGCTGAAATTGCCCCCATCAAGCTGAAGGTCAAGGGCAAGGAGGTGGACTTTGTTGTGGACGAACATCCACGTCCCAAGACCACCATCGAAGGTCTGGCCAAGCTGCCGTCCCTGTTTAAGAAGAATGGCGTCGTCACCGCGGGCACAGCCTCTGGCATCTGCGACGGTGCTGCCGCCGTTGTCGTTGCCTCCGAGGAGGCGCTCAAGGAGTACAACCTGAAGCCTCTGGCACGTCTCGTCGCCTTCTCATTTGTGGGCGTCAAGCCTGAGATCATGGGCATTGGCCCTGTGCCGGCCATACAAAATGTGCTCAGAGTTTCCGGCAAGAAATTGGAGGACATTGACCTGATCGAGGTAGATCCTTCAGTGGATTTTATTTATAGAGTTGACTCTAAACATATTTTTTCTCTGCAGATCAACGAAGCCTTTGCCGCACAAACTTTGGCCTGCGCTGAGGAACTGAAACTGGATCCATCAAAGTTGAATGTGAACGGCGGCGCCATTGCCCTGGGTCATCCACTGGGCGCCAGTGGCTCTCGCATTACGGGTCATCTGGTGCACGAGTTGCAGTAAGTAGACAAAGTTCTCCATATCAACTTCACTCTTGATTTCACTTCCCCCAATTCCTTCTTCGCAGGCGCAAGAAACTGAAGTATGGCATCGGCTCCGCCTGCATTGGCGGTGGCCAGGGCATCGCTCTGCTCCTCGAGGCTGTCTGAGATCAAACATATTCTGCATTTACAATAAGATTAGGCGTTTTGATTGAAATTTATATCTACAAGTAATAAATTTAGGGACCGATAATTTTATGGTTTGGACTTTTACAAATTTATTTTGAACATTTTGCAAATGGAAGTGTTTCATAAAGCTTTCTACAAGAAAGACAACATTTCATTATAAAATTTCTCGAAATAGCTAAAATGTTTACAATCAAGTCAACAATGCGAGCGAGTGATGAATGGAATTTGTTGCTCGCACTTTAAGGTAAGAATCTCTTAATGGGCCTAACATTACGAGTACATGCAAATCTATATTGTTCAGTTCGTTTGGGCGCTGGTGGAGAACAACGCCAGGACACCACTCGCGATGCCGATGGAGAAGATGTAGTTGACAAACGGTGTGGCATTCTTCAGCAGGAAGAAGCTGATGAAGATGATGATGGCCAAGTAGATGGCATTGTTGTAGAAAATCGAATAGGTGGTGGCCTCGTAGTCGGCAACTTCGTTCTTCTTCCACAGGATGCGTTCGTCCTTCTCCTTGCGCGTGACCTTCTTGTCGTCGCCCAGCTGACGGTTCACCTCGCGTGTAACAGCCTCCTCACGGCGCACTGCAATCTTGTGCTTCAGCTGGAACTTGATGTTCTTGTAGGCCGTTGCCATCAAGTAGGTGCTCGCCGCAGTCACCAGCACAAACAGAATGGAGCTGGGCCACAGGTCCATGTTGTGGATGCGCCAGAAGAGCCCTGAATAATGTCAACATTAGCGGTTGTATTTAGGAAAATCAACAACGTGTCACTATTTGCCTGATTACTTACATATTGGCAGAGCGGAGACGATGAAAGCGTTGCCATAGAAGATAGTTGCCGATTTGGTGCTGACGTTGCGACTGAAGTCCTGTAGCAACAACTCCTCCTCCTTGGTGAAACCGGATGATTGCACTTTCTGTTGTTTTCCAGAGCCCATTTTTACGCGAGTTATATGTTTTTTATATGAGTTGCGCTAGTGAAAGTTACAGCAACGCAGCCAGGCGAACGAAGAATAAGAGCAAAGCGTACACGAAGGCAGTCGAATCGGCAAAGTGACAGCTGCGGCGTTGTGACGTGTAAAGTAATTGTCAAAATACAAAGTTGCTCCGCGATATGAACATGGCCAGTCTGCACTCGACAAGCTGGTTCATTTTATGAACACAGCTAACAGTTGGTAAGCTTTAATTAATGGTATATATTATTATGCAAACTTGGCAGCTCAACACCGATTAAAACTTAATTTACAGTGAAATATTACTCTTACATTATTACGCTAATTACTCTGCCAAAATCAACCGGGTCAAAATGAAACAGTTCAGTTGGTGCATCCCTGGCAAAACCGATACAAATAATCGAATAATCATTATCACTGGCACCGAGAAGTGCAACAGGTTCTGAAACAGCTGTTTATATTTAAAAGTTAATAATTACAGGTGAATTATTTATTTAAATATATATAATTTTGCGCTAACAAACAGTTGTTGCTATTTAGAGATATTCATTTATTTACTTACAACATTGTTATGGATTAAACTTATCTTCATCCTACACAATTGCTCTTATATTAGATCGCGTCCAAAGGTCATTTTTTGATGTTGACAGGTTTTTTCTTATGAATATTTTCTTTTGCAGAAATGATGCGTCCAAAAATCTTGAGTCTGGTGCCCCGCGCCGCTGGTGCGTATAGAACTATGTCCACTACCACAAAACTAACTACAGTGGAGGTAAATGATAAAACGGGCATTGCCACACTTACCATGAACCGGCCGCCTGTGAACGGACTCAATTTGGATTTATTGCGCGACCTACGTCAATCAATTGCAGAAATAGAGGGCAACAAAAGTCGCGGTCTTATATTGACATCTGTAAGATAGCCCTCCATCAGTCATGATTTCCATAAATTTAATTTCATAAATACTTTCTAGTCGAATCCTACCATATTCTCAGCCGGCTTGGACATAATGGAAATGTATAAGCCAGACAAAGAGAGAGTTCGTGCATTTTGGACAGCGCTGCAGGATGCTTGGCTAGCGCTCTATGGCAGCAGTGTGCCAACTGCAGCTGCCATTAATGTAAGGAGCTGGGATTCACTTTATAATACACTTTCTTACACATCGATATCTGTGTAGGGCCATTCCCCAGCTGGAGGTTGCCTTTTAGCCACATCTTGCGAATATCGTGTTATGCTGCCTAAGTTTACGATTGGCCTAAACGAAACCAAACTTGGAATTGTGGCGCCCATGTGGTTTATGTCATCCTTCCTAAGCGTTCTTCCACGACGCGAGGCTGAGCGTGCTCTCAACCAGGGACGCATGTTTACCACTGATGAAGCCCTGCAGATCGGACTGGTTGACGAGGCCGCCAGCTCCAAGGAGGAGGCATTGGAGAAGTGTGCACAATTTATTGGCACATTTGCCAAAGTAAATCCAATCGCCCGTGCGCTAACCAAGCAACAGTTTAGATCTGCCGAATTGGAGCAGCTGGAAAGTGAACGTGCTCAGGATTTGGAAAAGTTTTTGTTCTTTATCAACCAGCCGGCAGTGCAAAAAGGACTAGGCATTTATTTGGAAAGTCTGAAAAAGAAGGCTAAGAATTGAGTTCATTATCATTCAGTTTTCAACAAATCTCATATACTACTCATTTTATATATAAAAACTAATAAAACGTTTTTACAATGTCCACATAGATATATCTGTCATTTGATAAGAAATTGTGTTAGTATATTCGGCGTTGGGTTCGTGTCTGTGGCTGGTGCTTAGCTTCGCTTCAGACGTGGGAAACAAGGGAATGGAACAAGTTTATTTCGGTTTACTTCACGATCCACACATGGTACGAAGTACTTGTGACGTCACAGCTGTTAATCAGGTTGTAGTGTTGTGACGAACAACAAAAGCGAACGAAAACCGCAAAGCTAATTACCTTATCATTCGAATAACATGTGATCAACAGTCGCTAAAATGCTGCGTAGCCAAACAAAACTGTTGGACTTGGGCAGGCGCCAATTACCGGGCCTCTGGAGATGCCTGACAAAGGCAAATATATCCAAACTGACCATGGTTGAGGTGGATGATAAGTCAGGCATTGCTACGCTGACTCTAAACCGACCACCCGTTAACAGCTGCAACTTGGAGCTGTTGTTGGAGCTGAACGAGAACATTAAGCAGATCGAGTGTAACAAGAGTCGCGGGCTGATATTAACATCGGTAATATTGTTAATTTAAACAATAAACACAGGGCCTCATATATCTATGTACATATGCATATCTATTATGTTTTACAGTCCAACGAAAAGGTTTTCTCCTCTGGATTGGATCTCAACGAATTGTATAAGCCCGACCAGGCGCGTTTGAGAGCATTCTGGACAGCACTGCATGAAATGTGGCTGTCGTTGTACCAATGCCGTATACCCACAGCGGCTGCTATTAATGTGAGTTTTACTCGAATGCTTCGCTAATTTCTAAATATTCTTTGCACTCAACAGGGTCATGCGATTGCCGTTGGTTGCGTTTTGTCTGCAGCCTGCGAGTATCGCGTCATGTTGCCCGGCTTCAGCATTGGCATCCATGCGACCAAGTTCGGCTACGTAGTGCCACATTTTATTATGATTTCCTATTTAAGTGTATTGCCACGACGCCTAGTTGAACGAGCGCTGCTCCAGGGCAAGCTCTTTAGCACCGAGGAAGCTCTGCAAGTGAATCTAGTCGATGAAGTGGCCGACAGCAAGGCGGAAGCGTTATGCAAATGTGCCGAATTCATTGACAGCTTTAAGCAAACACAGCCCGCGGCTCGGGCACTGACCAAGCGACAGTTTCGTGCGCCAGACGTGCAGGTGTTGATAGACGACCCTGAAGGTCAATTACGCGAAGCCTTGGACTATATAAACAAGCCATCGTTTCAAGAGGGCTTAGGAGAGTACCTTCGCAACCTGAAGGCCAAGGACAAGCACTGACAATTGTGTTCCTTATGTAACTTACTGTGTTAATCTATGCATTTAAAAGGGTGGGGGTTTTTTATGACGATAGAACTGTAACTAGTTTCTGTAAGCAAATGGTGTTGTTGTCTTTTAAATAAACATTTTTTTAAAGCTATTATAATACGTCTATTTAAAGAAAGTTCGTTATAGAGAAGGTTCGATTTATGTAATCGATATTGCAATTATCGAATAAAGTTAGTCGTAGCATTTTAGTGCAGTCTTTAGATGAAATCGACATTGATCGAATAGACGTCGTTTATAGCAGCGCAACAGGTTGTGCTGGATTGTTTGTTTTTGAACGTTGCGGTGTTTCCTTAACAGATAAAAACAACGCATTAGTTCTAAGATAGATAATGCATACATCGGAGAGTATACAATCTTTGATAACATAGTACTTCTTAGTCGCATATCATTTCCCTGGAGCAGCATCCAAAGTTCATTCTTCTTATCAAGATGATGAGTTCAATGAGCCTGAGTCGAATGCTTCGTGCTTCAAGTGTTTGCAGGACCATGTCCACTGCCACAAAGCTGACCACAGTAGAGGTTAATGATAAAACGGGCATAGCCACACTTACCCTGAACCGGCCGCCTATAAATGCCCTAAATGTGGAGCTGCTGCATGACCTATATCAATCCATTAAAGAAATAGAGAACAACAAGAGCAGAGGGCTTATCTTAACATCGGTAAGAAGTCGTTCTATAATGTGAGCAATTGCTAATAATGCGCTTATTTTTCAGTCAAATGATAAGGTATTCTCCGCCGGACTGGACATAAACGAGATGTATAGGCCAGACAAGGACAGAGCACGCTTGCTATGGACCAAACTGCAGGATGTTTGGTTGGCGCTCTACGGCTGCGCTTTACCAACAGCTGCTGCTATAAATGTAAGCATTATATGATCATTTGAGTAGTTCTATATACGAATTGCAGTGCCTGTTTTAGGGTCATGCGCCAGCCGGCGGCTGCTTGCTGGCCACCTCATGCGAGTACCGAGTTATACTGCCGCAATGCCGAATCGGCTTGAATGAAATTCAACTGGGGCTAGTTCCGCCGATATTCTGCATGTTTAACTTCTTAAACGTTCTGCCACGTCGTTTGGCGGAGCGCGCGCTCGTTCAGGGGCGAATATTTACTACAGAGCAAGCCCTCCAGATCGGGCTAGTGGACGATGTGGCCAGCAGCAAGGAGGAGGCATTGGAGAAGTGTTCACAATTTATTGGCACATTTGCCCAAACGAATCCCTTGGCACGTTCACTAACCAAGCTGAAGTTCAGGGGCGCTGATTTGCAGAGATTCGAAAACGAGCGCTCTAAGGAGCTGGAGAGTTTCTTGGCGTTCGTCGATCATCCACAGATGCAAGAGGATCTGGGCATCTATCTCGAAGGCTTGAAGAAAAGGAACAGGAATTGAAAGTGTTCTGATGGCGTATGTACACAAATTCATTGGCCCGAATAAATCAAAACAAAAACTAATTTTTAAATATTTTATTAAAGGAAAATATGACATAGCTTCACCATTTACTCTTGTTGCAGGAGCAGCTCGGCGTGAATCTCCTCTGGCAGATTCGCTATTGCTTTTCTCATCATCTCCATAAACGAATTGATTTCCAATATCTTTGCACGATGGCGCTCGATTTCCTCTCTGCAAGTTTGCATTGTTGGCATACAATCAACTATGAATGAGGGGAGGACTTACTTGTTTAGCTTCTCCACGTAGTTGGTTATGAACTCCTTGCTGCGGTCGGCCATGCGATCCTCGCGTTCCTCAATGCGCGCTATATGCGTGGCTTTCATGGCGTCCACAAGATTGAGCAGAGATTCCCGATCATCGATGCAGATGCGCAATGGTTGGGGCACAGAATCCAGATCGTGCTGCGCCAGCTTATCTGATATGAAGCGTGACACTGCATCCGTCATGCTCTCCGAAAAGTGTTCGCAAACATGTCGCAGCTGCAGGAAGTAAAGCTGGGACTCCTCCACAAAGCTGGACATCAGGCGCGTGAATCTGTGCTCAAAGTTCAACGTGGACTCCTAAAAAGACTTTTAATGTATAGTAAGCATAGTTAAGGATTTGCATAGTCACCTCTATCGCCTCATGCAAATGCAGCTCTTGCGCCATCAGATTTTGCCACAGCTCATTGAGCGCTTCGTCGAACTGGGCATTTGTCGTGTCCATCGCTTCGCATAGCTGCACGTGCTCCGGCCCATTCTCCTCACAAGTCTCCAGCTCACGGAGAATGACGCTCGCTTCCTCAAAGGTCTTATCGCGGTACTGCATGAATTCTTCAATGTGTTTCTGGCCAAGGGATTGAAACTCTTGCCGGCCCTCCTCTAGACAACTCAAGAAATCCTTAATATCCGCATCGCGCTCGTTGAAGCGTTCCAGACCCAGCTTATATATCTTCTGCGTTAGCTCATAGACATCCTTTTCGTAGTCCTCGGCCAGTTCCTGAGCCGGTGCGCCAATGAGCATGAGTACCCGTCCATCATCATCGGCGCGCCACATAGTCTCGTACAGCTGTTGGCGATCCAGATGCTCCACAAAGCTGGAGGCCAGACGTTCCGCCTCGGCGCGTTCACGTGCCTCCGTCTCCCGATCATGGATTTCCTTCTCCTGCTTGGCCTCGATTTCGCGCAGTTCTCTGCTATTGAAGGCATTATATATTTATATTATATCAAGTATTCTATAGCTTACTAAAATCTCTTCTGAGCCGCATCTCGCGCTTCGTCCTTGATGAAAACGTATTCATAGTAGTTCAATTGGGGCAATATAGCTGTCACGTATTGCGACAATGGAAAGTCTGGCAGCTTAGCAATGGGATTGCCCTCCAGATTGAGCACCTTTAGGCTGTTGACAAAGCGCAAGCGGTCTATCTGCGGAGCATAATACAACTGCTTAATAGCTAGGAATTATTATGGGTGTATGGAACTTACGCCATCCAGAACGTTGATTAAATTATTACCAATACTGAGTATAACCAATTTATCAAGTGCTTCCAAGTTTTCGATCCTTGTTATGCGATTGCCGAATAATGATAGCACTTCCAGATTGACTAACGTCTCCAGATTTTCGATTTTTGTTATATAGTTAAAGCTCAAGTTGAGTTCCTTGAGTGCCGTTAGCATTCCAATATGCTCAATCACTTCAATTTTATTGCAATTCAGACAGAGTTTGGTTAGGTTTGGTAGAACCCATAGATGATCGATGCGCAGTATATCTGGATGTTAAATGTGATACGAATATAAATTTGTGAATTTTATATATTTAATCTATTAAAACGGCTTACTACATTTTTATTGTTGTATTGTTACTATTAGCATTTCCCCTATTGAGTATTAGATTAGTATTCGTATTATTATTTAAGAGCTTGAATTAACTTGTGTTCACTTCATTCAACTCACTTTTGAACTCCAATCGAAGTGTTTTGATTCGCTCCAATATGACCGGCTCGAGCTGATGCAAGCGACGCGTCTCACCATGCTGCCCCTCCTCCAGGTAGGATGACCTAATCATGTCCAGATTAATAATGCCCGGCTCGGGAAAGTTAACCTCCTCGAGAAATGATTTATTTCGCTCAGCAGTCGGTGATTGGGTCTCTTCGTCCATTTCGCTCGCTGGCCATAGAACATATGATGGGAACTTGACTCGCTCGAGCATTGGCACAGCGTTGTCCTGGCAACGCGCTAGTGTCGCAAACAATAAATTGGTAAATGCGGAGCCGTTGAGTGCAGCGGGTGCCTGGTTACCAGCCGAAAGGCTATTCCACCGACTCTCAAGTCGCATGTGGAGAATGCGTATTGTGGTCCTGCTCCTTGGCTGCCAAAAAAAAAAAAAAAAAAAGCCAGGTTCAACCCTGGCGCCTTGAACAGGTGCAAGCGCTTGGCTCCTCGAATGATTCCACGTAGTCGTTGGACTTCGTGCGTGGCTCTCGGCCTCTCTCTCTCTCTTTCTCTTTCTCTGTCGCTCTGTCGCTCCCGAGGCGTGTTTGTTGACAACGGACTTGGGAGGGGCGCTTGGTCTACTTAGGGTTGCGGTTGTTGTGGATATCGGCGTAGTTGGTAGTTGTTCACGTTTGCTTCTAAAATAAACTTCTGCTCGCAATAGATATTGAGATTAGCTCGCTTCGATTTCAATTTCGCAACATAAATATCCAACAATTTCTAACAAAATATAAACACAATATATATTCAAACATTCCAGTGACGGTTTCGAGTGCGTCTTAGGTAAAGCTCAAGAGTTTTTCAATTGCAAATTGATGCCCAGTTCTAGCATTTAAAGTTAACTAAAACCAATCGATAAAGTGAACCCCGAAATTACTTAAAGTTGGTCTTTGAGTTGCTCGCGAATACGTTATATAGTATATATTTATATATACATATGTAAGGCGATGTGTCCAACATAATATATATCAAAGAGGTTTTATTGGTGTGCGTGCTTCTATGAAGAATTCAATTAAATGAAATGTTAAATGTGTTTCAAGGCTACGGCTACGGCTACAGCTACGGCTAGAACTAAGCCAAAACAAAAGCCTTGCTGACTCAAGTTTTGGCTCCGGTACCCTCTACTCCGCCTCCTCCCTCAGTCCTGCTCTGCTCCTGCTCCTGCTCCACACACATGCACATTTCCAGTGTATTGTCTTGGAACTTTCAACGAACCTTCTTCTAATTTGACATGGTGCTATGAATAAATAATAGAAAGTCCAACAATTCTTGCTTCTAATTGTCTCTGAAATGCGATACCAAATGGGGACACACACTTGGCTATATGACTGCATTTCGTATATGTATATACAGGGTGCATCCGCGTAGGGCGGGAGGGATTTTCAAAGTTCAAGTAAATATTTCACTTCGCTACTGCTCAAAATGTTAAAGGGCAGCTTGAAGCCGTTATAGAGTATATTCTCCATGTAACAGTAGAATAAAAGGTCCTCTCGCTTAAGGCTCAAATGCCAATCTGGTGTATAGCTTGAGAAAATTCCTAATGGAATTGTGCATTCGGATTCATTTATACAAATATATGTATATATTATTTCGGATTATCATAGACATCGTGGGGGTAGTTCTGAACACCCTATAAATACCAGCTAGTCCTTTGATTGGGTGAGTTCCATTTTCTTGGGGAATAAATGTTGGATTAAAGATTCATTAAACGCAGTCGACTGCATTAACTATTAAAAATTAATTACGATTTCAGGGCATAGGGTAGGATAGCTCCCTATCTAACATGTAAATTTGTTTCTAATTGCAACTGACTAAGGATACGTTTATTATGTTAACAGATCTCACTAACATGTATCCATTTATACTTATTTATATATCCATTGTGTAGCAGTCAACGTTGTCCAGTCCAATGCCAAACGAATCTTTTGTTTAACCCAAAAATATGCCGGCTGACCTTGATAGTTGGGGTAACACTTAGATGACAGATATCACCATGATTTGAATGATTTGGTCAAGCCTCTATATAGTTCAAGTTTACTGCTTCAATCAATATATTGATTATTTCCAAATTGAACCCATCTAAACAAATAATAAAAGAGCCGAAGTCTTCAACATGTGGTCTATACTCGATAGGTGTCCAGGTGTTCATTCAATCCAATTAATTGACTGTTACTTTGGCTGATGGACGCTTTCAACTCGACGATTTGATTCGAATTTAAGTGTTCACATTTGTTTTAATGGGGCTTGGTTTTTTAACAAGTCCCTCTGGGCATGTCGGCACCCAAACTAATCAACAAACAAATTGTTCTTGTAATGGAATAATTAATAAATCTCTTTCATTTAGTTTGAAAATATCTGGTATCTCGATTACATTTTAAAATGTGTTATTAATAAATCTTAAAATAACTATTATATTTTTTTTTAATGTATAAAAATCAAAATTAAAATTTATTTTATTTATAATGTACGTACGTTTTTGGTATAATATAAATTGTTGTATACATATTTACTTAACATAAATATTAAAATTACTTTTCATTAAATTTTTGTAACATAAAATATTTTATAATTCATTTATTTATGTTTGAATATATATACAAAAGAAGTGTTATTTTTATGAAAAAATATTTTTATTATTAACAAAAAATTATTGAAAAATTAAAATGTATTTAATTATTATATTTTAATTTTAATAATACAATAGTTAAACAAATTCGAGTTGCTTGTGGAAAATATGTAAAAACGCTCCCATGCTGATTGTATAATGAATCGTTATATAACACTGACCCAGCTGGGTGATGGAACCTATGGAACCGTTGTGCTTGGCCAGCGTAAGGACACCGGCGAGAAGGTGGCCATAAAACGCATGAAGCGCAAATATTATTCCTGGGAGGAGGCCATGAATCTGCGTGAAGTGAAGGTAGACTATATATATTCAGTTGTCCACTATAAGATATACATATATGCATTGTTATTCGCAGTCTCTTAAGAAATTATCGCATCCAAATATCGTAAAGCTGAAGGAAGTGATTCGAGAGAACGATACGTTATATTTTGTGTTTGAGTACATGAAGGAGAATCTGTACCAAATGATCAAGGATCGCGATACGCATTTACCAGAGCCGGAGCTCAAAAGCATTCTGTTTCAGGTAAGTCAGGGAGTCGGAACTCTTTATCATATACGTAAATAATCTGATGTTTTAGGTTTTAACTGGCTTGGCTTTCATGCATCGACATGGGTTCTTTCATCGCGATCTGAAGCCTGAGAATTTGTTATGCTCCGGCCCGGAGCTGATTAAAATTGCAGACTTTGGACTGGCACGAGAGATCCGCTCCCGGCCGCCCTTCACGGACTATGTGTCAACGCGGTGGTACCGGGCGCCAGAGGTGCTGCTGCACTCGACCAATTACGGGAGCTCCATTGATCTTTGGGCCATGGGCTGCATCATGGCCGAGCTGTACACGTTCCGGCCACTCTTCCCCGGCAGCAGCGAGGTGGATCAGCTGTTCAAGATTTGCTCCGTGCTGGGCACGCCCGGAAAGGTGCGTCTACGCTCCTTTGAATGCCGATTCATTTATCAGCTTCTTTTTTCTTCAACAGAGCGATTGGCCCGATGGCCATCGACTGGCTGCCATGATACACTTTCGGTATCCGGATTGCATCAAGGTGCCGCTGAGCAGCGTGGTCACTCGCTGCAGCCAAAACGGCTTGGATTTGCTGGAGGATCTGCTGGCCTACGATCCAGAGAAGCGGCCAACGGCCCAGCAGAGCCTCAAGTATCCGTATTTTCATGCGCTCAAGCGCATCTCGCCCACGGCGGCTGCCAAGGCCAATGTGCGGCTCAGCTCCAAGTACGGTGCTGGGTCGGGGCCCGTGCACCTTGTCCTACCTCCCACTGTGTCAAATAATGTGCTTCCGGTGCAGGAGAAACTGCAGGCCGTGACTGAGCTCATACATCAGAGCAATCTCAACAACAACAACAACAACAACAACAATAGCACCAATAACAACAACAACAACCACAGCGACAACAACCTCAAGAACAATGGCAAATCCCTGTACAATGGGCAGATCGGCAAAAATGTGAGCATACCCATCAAATACCAGCCGAAGATAAGCTTCCTCTCCAACAACGATCTGTCCACGGATCCATGCGCTCTCGGCATGGACATGGCCACGCAGCCGTCGGGCAAAGAGTCCATCAACGACATTTATCTGAATCGCAACATTTCTCAGCTGTTTGGCTTGCCCGCGTCGACAGTGGCCCTTCAGCAACCGCAACCGCAACAGCAACAGCAGCCACACCCACAGCCACAGCTGCCTCCCAATGTCTCCTTCAGCAACACGACGACGCGCAACGGCGGCGCCATCTACGTGAATGGCAGTCAACTGAGCTACGAGACGGCCAATAAGAATGCCAAAAACAACAGCCGCATAGCGCCTGGCATCGGGGGCTACTACGTGCAGACGCGGCCCACGCTGCTGCAGCCGGAGGCCAAGGTGTACAACATGTTCTCGAAGGTGAGCGCCGTGCCAGCGCCGCCGAATCTAATCGTGCGCCAGCACCAGCCGCCGCTGCCCTTCGAGCCGACGTCCCTGCTCAACGGATCGGCCATGCGACTGTCGGCGCGCTCTCAGGCAGCGCCATCGGAGGAGCCAAGGATAAAGGCTGATGATCTGGATCTGATATTGGGGTAAGTGAAGAGCGAACATGTAAACACTATGGATGCATCGGCAATAACTACAGGGTATACTAGGAAAGTGCATACGTATCGCATGTCTGTTGTCCTGAATCTTGTTTGTGTGTGTTGTCCACTCAGTTCTGTGGCTATGTTTGTCTCTCTGATCTGTTTTGTTGCTTGTTCAAGAAGTCGTTCTCATTCCGCATCCAGCTCAAAACTGAAAACGTCAGCGAAACGGCAACGCAACGCCAAGTCGAACATCCTGCTGGAGGACCTGTTCGGCCATCTGTCCATGGACTCGGACAGCGACAGCAAGTACCCGCACACGGTGCCGCCCACGCAGCAGGCGAAGAGTGGCCAAACGACGACCAGCTCCCAGAACGGACGCGACTTCTTCAGCGAGAACTTCAAGCGCGAGCGTGCCGCCAAGCGGCGCAGCCCCAACAGCCTGGAGGCGAACAATGGCAGCCGCACAGATTCGCTCTCCACGAATCCGTAAGTAGTTGCAGCAGTCGCTGTGGCATGACAGACGAACCGTTTGATTTGAATACAGTACATTCATATCTCATATCTGTATTGTGGTCTCCGATCATCGAAACTCATATCTCTTGTGCTTCTTTGAATGTCTCTCTATTATGCTATTTTGTCTCTCTGTCTTTCTCTTTGTCTCTGTATCTGTCTCTTGTTTTCCCTTGTATTGTTTCCTTTGTGTCTTTTCATTTGCTTGTCATTCATCACTGAACATTTTGTGCGTGCCCCAGTGATACCCAAAACGACTCCTCAACTGATGAAGGCTGTCGCTTTTGGCCCATAAGGTAAAAACCAGCATTCGTAAACTGTAAATAC